ACTCACCTCAGCCTCCCAAAGGCATGGGATTACAGGCTGAGCCACCGAGCCCAGCTATTAAATAATAAATTTAAAAAATTAGCTGGACATGGTAGTATGCGCCTGTAGTTCTGGCTACTTGGAAGTCTGAGGCAGAAGGACTGCCAGAGCTCAGGAGGTCGATGCTGGCTGTGAGCATGCCACTACACTCCAGCCTGGGTGCAGGGTGAGACTACAACTCAAAAAAAAAAAAAAAAAAAAACAAAAATAGCACAACTACTTACTCTAGGAGAGAAAAAGTTGTATGAGAAAAATGTAGTACACTACTTGACTGGGCAGTGAACAACATTTAAAACACTGAATATTAATTTAACAGCTGTGATATAATCATATACAGGAAGAACAGGAGCAGTGGGTATGTCATATAATGGAGGTAAGGGTTCATCGGCTATCACATACCAGCTAATAGATTTGAAAATGAAACAAAAATTAAGAAATGTTTTACTAGATTATTATTTATAAATAACCAGTCTAACAGTAAGACCTCATTTACACAAAAAATAAAAAAATTAGCTGGGCAAGGTGGTACATGCCTGTAGTTTCAGCTACTCGGGAAGCTACGCCAGTAGGATTGCTTGAGCCCAGGAGTTCAAGGCTGTGACAAGTTGTGATCATGCCACAGTGAGACCCTGACTCAAAAAAAAAAAAAAAAAAGCTGAGCACGGTGGCTCACGCCTGTAATCCCAACACTTTGGGAGGCAGAGGCAAGAGGACTGTCTAAGCCCATGGGTTTAAGACCAGCCTGGGACTGGAGTGCAGTGGCATGCTCCTGGCCACCGCAGCCTCGACCTGCTGGGCTTCTGCGATCCTTCCGCCTCAGTCTTCCAAGTAGCTAGAACTACAGGCACGCGCTACCAGGCCTGGCTAGTTTTTGATTTATTGTAGAGACGAGGTCTTGCCAAGTTGCCCGGGCAGGTCTCGAACCCATGGGCTCAGGCAATCCTCTCACCTCAGCCTCCCAAAGGCGCGGGATTACTGGCTGAGCCACCGAGCCCAGCTTGCAATAAATTTTTTAAAAATTTAGCCAGGCATAGTGGTGTGTGCCTGTAGTTACAGCTACTTGGAAGGCTGAAGCGGAAGGATTGCCTGAGCCCAGCAGGTCAAGTCTGCAGTGGCTGTGAACATGGAAAAAAAATAGATATAAGGGGGCACCCAAAGTCCCGTAATTATCTTTTGGAGGGCGGGCCCCTTATAATAAAGGCTTCTCCTACTAGGTAAGTGTTTTAGGAACCCACTGGCCTCAGTGTATCAGCTAGTGTTTTTGTGAGAGGCTGCATTTGGCTTCAATGAATTTTGTTTGGAGATTCTTTCAACATATTTGCCCATTTCATGATGGGAGACTTTTGAGCACACCTGCTCACGTCCCACAGAGTGTTCAGCAGTTTTTGACCAAAAACAGCATGAACCCCATGTCCCACCCTCCCTATTTATCCAATCTCACCCCAAGAAACTTTTTTGGTTTCCCTGGATGTAAAAAATCCTCAAAGGGAAATGGTTTGTCAATGTAAAAAAGGTGAAATGAAAAACAGCAGAAGCACTAAAAGACATCAAAATGGATGAGTTCAAAATCTTTTGAGCAGTGGAGGAAGCATCTCAATAGATATATTGTGTCAAACTGAGAGTATTTTGAGGGTAACTGAAGTTTAAACCTGTAAGAATAAATATACATTTTTTTTTGAGTCAGAGTATCACTGTGTTGCCCAGGTTGAAGTACAATGGCACACTCATGGCCACCCCAGCATCGACCTGCTGGGCTCCAGCCATCCTTCCACCTCAGCCTTCTAAGTAGCCAGAACTACAGGCGTGCGCTACCATGAGCAGCTAATTTTTGATTTATTGTAGAGATGAGGTCTCGCCAAGTTGAACCCATGAACTCAGGCAATCCACTCAATTCGGCCTCCCAAATTGCTGGGATTTCAGGCTGAGCCATTGAGCCCGGCCAAATATACATTTTTTTAATAAAGAAATCCCTGGCCGGGCTCGGTGGCTCAGCCTGTGATTCCAGCGCTTTGGGAGGCTGAGGTCAGTGGACTGCCTGAATCTGCAGGTTTAAGACTCGCCTGGGCAACCTTGCGAGACCTCATCTCTACAATAAATCAAAAATTAGCCAGGAGTGGTAGTGTGCGCCTGTCGTTCCAGCTACTTGGAAGGCTGAGACAGAAGGATCGCCAGAGCCCAGCAGGTGAAGCCTGCAGTGGCCAGGAGCATGCCACTGCACTCCAGTCTGGACGACAGAGTGAGACTCCCACTCAAAAAAAAAAAAGAAAAGAAATCCCTGCACAGGATCTGTAAGAGATCTATGAAATAATCTATATTTTCCTTGTAAAGTATTTGAGAAAAAATTTTAGATAGGTCGCTGTGATGTACTTTTTTTCTTTTTTGAGTTGGAGTCTCATTGTGTTGGAACACAGTAGCACATTACATTCATGGCCACCACAGCCTCAACCTGCTGGGCTCAGGTGACCATTCCACCTCTGCCTTCCAATTAGCTGGAATCACAGATGGGCACCACTGCACCTGGCTAATTTTTAAAATTTATTATACAGACGAGGTCTGGCCCAGTTGCCCAGGCTGGTCTCAAACCCCTGTATTCAGACAATCCTCTTGCCTATACCTCTCAAAGTGCTGGGGTTACAGGCGTGAGTCATTGCTCCTGGATGGCCCCACTATAATATACTTTAAAATGTAATCTTGCTGTTGGGTGGGAAAGCATATTTTATTTTCTTTTGTACAACTTGACATTTTTCAAGGACTAACATTTGTGCTAAAAAAAATTTTTTTTTGAGTTGGAGTCTCACTCTATCATCCAGGCTGTAGTGCAGTGGCATGCTCACAGTCACCTCAGCTTCAACCTGCTGGATTCAGGCGATTCTTTCACCTCAGTCTTCCAAGTAGCTTGAACTACAGGCATGCCACCACACCTGGCTAATTTTTTTTATTTATTGTAGAGACGAGATCTTGCCAAGTTGGCCAGGTTGGTCTCGAACCCCTGGGCTCAGGCAATGCTCTGGCCTCTGCTTCCCAAAGTGCCGGAATTATAGGTGTGAACCACCACACCTGGCTGATAAAAATATATTTTTTTATGTTAAAATATAATATAAAATATGGTCCTATACCTAATCTTGAACTGTACCAAACATACTTAAAATAAAAAAGAATTATTTATCTCCTTAAAACCAGCAGTAGTGTTAGATGATTTAAGTATACCTCTATGTTTCTACAATGAAATAAAAATTCCAGTATACTGAAGAATGTCTGCCACCCAACTTCCCAATCTAACCTAACAACATCCCCACTGTGGTCCATGCAAGCTTCCTACTATGGAGAGTTTCACACAGTGGAGGCATTTATGGGATAAGTCTTACCCATTCTTAGGCTTAACATGATCCATTTTGTGGGCCTACTGTGAAAAGTTGAGCTAGGACAATAATATTCCCATTCTTGGAAATCTGAACTAGAAGAAAAAATGTTCCATGTGTCAGATGTAGAGCTATACAGACAAGGGTGTACCAGCCTGGTCAACTTGGTGAGACCTCGTCTCCACAATAAATCAAAAAAATTGTCCAGGCATGGTAGCGCACGTCTGTAGTTCTGGCTACTTGGAAGGATGAGGCAGAAGGATCGCCGGAGCCCAGCAGGTTGAGGCTGCGGTGGCCAGGAGCGTGCCACTGCACTCCAGTCTGCGCAACAGAGTGAGACTCCAACTCAAAAAAAAAAAAATCTCTATTTTATTGGGCATTAGCAAAAATGTAATGTAACTAGCATATCAAGTCAGTGATTTCATGCACTTAGAATTATTAATAAGGGCAGAGGGTGGTGGCTTACACTATAATTCCAGCACATCAGGAGGCTGAGGTGAGAGGATTGCCTAAACCCAGGGGTTCGAGACCAGCTCGGGCAACTTGGCGAAACTTCATCTCTACAATAAATCAAAAAATTAACCGGGCATGGTGGCACATGCCTGTGGTTCCAGCTACTTGGAAGGCTTAGACAGAAAGATTGCTGAGTCCAACAGGTGGAGGCTGGGGTGGCCGTGAGCATGCTACTGCACTCCAGCCTGAGCAACAGTAACTCTAACTCAAAAAAAAGAATAATTAATATGTAAAATAAGGTAGACTTGAAAAAGACCCACTAAGTTCTAGGAGACTTGGTACTCAAAAATGGTAAATACCATAAAAGTAGTATGTGAAAGATTTAGACAATGGAAAAACAGAGCCACACAACCTTTGTACATTCTTTTGATAGCACACCCATCACAATGTGCCACACAACTATATTTCCACTAGATGTTGTAGACCAATCCATAAGGAGAAATAACTGTGACCCAGAAGTGGGTACGCAGATATATTTGACAGCATTATTGAAACAGCACTAAATATGCAAACTGTGAGTTATAAATATCTCAAATCGCGCTCACTATGGAAAACCAAATTTTTACTATCAGTTGCAAAATTACCTTTCTTTCTTTCTTTTTTTTTTTTTTTTTGAGTTGGAGTCTCATTCTGTCGCCCAGACTGGAGTGCAGTGGCCGCTCCCAGCCACCGCAGCCTCGACCTGTTGGGCTCCGGTGATCTTTCCACCTCAGCCTTCCAAGTAGCCGGAATTACAGGCGCACGCTACCATGCCCGGCTGATTTTTTGATTTATTGTAGAGATGAGGTCTTGCTGCCCAGGCGGGTCTCGAACCCGTGGGCTCAGGCAATCCACTCACCTCAGCCTCCCAAAGGCGCGGGATTATAGGCTGAGCCACCGAGCCCGGCTTACCTTTCTTTCTTAATGAATCTTATAATATGGGATGGAAGGTTAGGTCCTTATCCATCATTCACTGAGTCTCTATCTGCTTTGATGACTTACAACCCTTGAAAAATAATTCTTTTAAACGTTTTTCAGTTGGGTGCAGTGGCTCACGCCTGTAATCTCAGCACTTTGGGAGGCAGAGGCGAGAGGACTGCCTGAGCTCAGGGGATCAGGACCAGCCTGAGCAACATGGCAAGACCTCGCCTCTACAAGAAATAAAAAAAATCAGCCAGCGTGGTGGGGCATGCCTGTGGTTCCAGCTACTTGCAAGGCTGAGGCGGAAAGATTGTCTGAGCCCAGCAAGTCGACACTGGGGTGGCCATGAGCGTGCCACTGCACTCTAGCCTGGGTGACAGAGTGAGACTCCAACTCAAAAAAAAAAAAAGAACTTTCCCTTAAGGTGCATGTTGACCATCAGTCTCGTGCTGGTATTTAACCTTAGACACAGTTTACTATCACCCACTCTGGGTTGCATTCCCAAGCTACCCGACTCAAGGAAGAACTGTGCCCAGTGCATGCCAGGCGGCTACTGGCCTGATTTCTTTCTCTTAATTTTGGATCTCCCCTATTGATATTAAAGTTATACCATACTACCCAGTGTTCCTAAAAGTGTGAAAGGATTAGAAATCAGGAACTTTACATTCGTTCTCCATTCCTATAATAGTTTGTCAACATCAATGCTTAGTCTTTTTAAAACCATTAAATCTACTGTTACCTGATATGAATTAATGATTCTAGCATAGCTCGGACATTTCTTTACTACTACTACTACTACTACTACTACTACTACTACTACTACTACGGATTCAATCATAGAGGATGTTAGGGGAAAATGAAAAGATAAAGTCCTTACCTCAGGTCTCAGAGAAGGAAGAATAACAATTTCCTGTAAAGCTTGTTTTGCCAATTCTTGACCAGCTATATCATCAAATTTCACTGCTGTTCCACTAAGAAACAAAATCTCAGTTAGTTCCACAAAAGAAATATGATTCAGTTATTATAAGAAGAAGTCTAAGCCCTATGAAGTGTAGTCATTTTTATGTTCAAGTTTAGTTATGCCAGTAAAGCAATGATTTTCTACATTTGTAATAATAGAAAATGTTCATAAAAATGAAGTATGTAAATCAGACAGGGTATTTATTACCTATTTCCCTCATGATACAATTTATCAATAAAATTCAAAAATAAGAACTGCAAAATAAGCCGGGCTCGGTGGCTCAGCCTGTAATCCCGCGCCTTTGGGAGGCTGAGGTGAGTGGATTACCTGAGCCCGCGGGTTCGAGATCTGCCTGGGCAGCAAGACCTCATCTCTACAATAAATCAAAAAATCAGCCGGGCGTGGTAGCATGCTCCTGTAATTCCAGTTACTCAGAAGCCTGAGGCGGAAGGATCGCCGGAGCCCAGCAGGTGAGGCTGCGGTGGCCAGGAGCGGCCACTGCACTCCAGTCTGGGCGACTGAGTGAGATTCCAACTCAAAAAAAAAAAAAAGAACTGCAAAATAAAACATTTTGATGGCAAAACTTACTTGTCCACAATTTCATTCATTATGAGGTTAGCAAGGTTGCTGTCCACATTCCTGAAATTCTTCAAGTCTTTCTTCTTACGAGCAGCAGTTGTAGGGGTAGAAGGTTTATTTGTTCTATTTGTTTTTGGAGTGCCCTTAAAGGATACAATTTCAATGTAAAATACAACCTAATATTTATACTTTGCACAAGTCAACTAACTGTAAAGTTCACAGAATTAACCCTTTAAAAATAGGAAAAAGGATATAAAAACTCAAAAATTGTGTATTTACTCCAAGGGAAAACTGTATTCATGATATAACTATACTTGTTAAGAAATGAGGTATAGAGGACTTTATTCAGAGACATTTAGCTTTTAATAAAACATTAAAAAAAAAAATAGACTCCAAACTTGGTGACTCATGCCTGTAATCCCATCACTTTGGGAGGCTGAGGCAGGAAGACTGCTTAAGCCCAGAAGATCAGCGTGGGCAACAAAGCAAGATCTCATCTCTACAAAAAAATTAAAAAATTTAGGTGGGCTTAGTGGCACACCTGCAGTCCCAGCTAATTGGCAGGCTGAGGTAGAAGGACCACCTGAGCCCAGGAGGTTGAGGCTGTAATGAGCCATGATCATGCCACTGCACTCCAGCCTGGGTGACAGAGTGAAACCCCAACTCAAGTAATAACAACAACAACAACAACAATAATAAAAAAAGAAAAACAAATTTTGATCCTTGTTAGAGTTATAACAAAACTCCAGATATGCTAATGTTATAAAACATTTAAGTAGATTAAAATAATTTTTAAAATAAATTTGAAATGAAATACATAACATTATAAAAAATAGCCTGGGAAACTTAATATAAAATGACAAATTGGCCAGGTGCAGAGGCTGAAGCCTGTAATACCAGCACTTTGGGAGGGCAAGGTGAAGGGACTGTCTGAGCCCACAGGTTCGAGAAGAGCCTAGGCAATTTGGTGAGACTTCATCTCCAAGTCAAAAAAAAAAAAATAGCTGGGCATGGTAGCATGCACCTGTAGTTCTGTCTCCTTGAAAGGCTGAGGCAGAAGGATCATCTAAGCTCTGCAGGGGTGGCCATGAATGTGCCGCTGCACTCCAGCCTGGGTGACAGAGTGAGACTCCAACTCAAAAAAAAGTTAAAATTAAAATTAAATTAAATAAAATGCCAAATTAAGTCCAAAAAAGGTCTTATACCAAGTTGCCCTTATGGATTAAAAAAAAAAAATTACATTAAGTTGGTGAAAACGCATCCATTCTCTAAGTACTGAAAAGTACTTGTAATAAATTTGAGCAAGCACAATACCTTCCAAATTTTCTATTTGCACAAGCCTGGCAATTAAAGTTACTGTCTCACAATACCTTATGAATGGCAGCTGTAGGACCAGGTCCCTGTCTCACTCCAGACACCATGGATAAACCACTGCAACTAGGTGCTCTGTGGTGGCCTGAAAGTCCCGTGGATCCAGTTTTCATAACTGCTTTTGAACGAGGCAGTGAATTACTAGTGTGTGTTAAGGGATCTTTTCTTTTTGGAACAGCTCCACTTTCTAAAAAGGAAAAAGTAAAACCACTGTGATTAGAAAACTGTGGCTAAACATTAAAAAAAGTAGTAATGAAGACAAGCACAAATTTATAAAAGCAAGGTAAAAAGATTTTTTAAGGACGGGCTCGGTGGCTCAGCCTGTAATCCCGCGCCTTTGGGAGGCTGAGGTGAGTGGATTGCCTGAGCCCGCGGGTTTGAGATCTGCCTGGGCAGCGAGACCTCATCTCTACAATAAACCAAAAAATCAGCCGGGCGTGGTAGCGCGCGCCTGTAGTTCCAGCTACTTGGAAGGTTGAGATGGAAGGATCGCCGGAGCCCGGCAGGTCGAGGCTGCGGTGGCCGGGAGCAGCCACTGCACTCCAGTCTGGGTGACAGAGTGAGACTCCAACTCAAAAAAAAAAAAAAAAAAAAGATTTTTTAAAATTCAGAAATATTTCAAATAAAATGTCAATGAGAACACGTATCAGGGTCTTCACAGTGGTTGTCACTGAGTAGAAAAGTAGTTTTAGGTTTTTCCTTTTCCTGATATACATTCTTTTTTTTTTTTGAGTTGGAGTCTCACTCCGTCGCCCAGGCTAAAATGCAGTGGCACGCTCTCAGCCACTCCAGCATCAACCTGCTGGACTCCGGCAATCCTTCCACCTCAGCCTTCCAGGTAGCCGGAACTACAGGCGCGTGCTACCACGCCCAGTTAATTTTTTATTTATTGTAGAGTCAAGGTCTCACTAAGTTGCCCGGGCTGGTCTTGAACCACAGCTCAGGCAATCCACTCGCCTCGCCCTCCCAAAATGCTGGGATTATAGGCTGAGCCAACGAGCCCAGCCTCCTGATATATATTCTAATTCTCATAAAAAAGTGTATTTGCAAGAAGAAACAACTTCATATGGGGAACAGGTAAGTATACAAAAGTAATGAAGCAAATAAAGCTCCCAAATACTTAAATGTAGCAAAGGCATTAGAAATAGGTTGTACATAGTGGGAAAAAAATAGCACTCCACTACACTGGTTCCAAACTTTCATGAATATAAATACTACGAAAGTATGTTCCAACAAAGAGAGTTTTTAAAATTAATCAATTTTAAGCCAGGTGTGGTGGGTCAAGCCTGTAATCCCAGCACTTTGGGAGGCAGAGGTAAGAGGACTGCCTGAGCTCGGGGGTTTGAGACCAGCCTGAGGAAGATGATGAGGCCTCATCTCTAAAATAAATAAAGCCGGGCTTGGTGGCTCAGCCTGTAATCCCAGCACTTTGGGAGGCAGAGGTAAGAGGACTGCCTGAGCTCGGGGGTTTGAGACCAGCCTGAGGAAGATGATGAGGCCTCATCTCTAAAATAAATAAAGCCGGGCTTGGTGGCTCAGCCTGTAATCCCAGCACTTTGGGAGGCAGAGGTAAGAGGACTGCCTGAGCTCGGGGGTTTGAGACCAGCCTGAGGAAGATGATGAGGCCTCATCTCTAAAATAAATAAAGCCGGGCTTGGTGGCTCAGCCTGTAATCCCAGCACTTTGGGAGGCAGAGGTAAGAGGACTGCCTGAGCTCGGGGGTTTGAGACCAGCCTGAGGAAGATGATGAGGCCTCATCTCTAAAATAAATAAAGCCGGGCTTGGTGGCTCAGCCTGTAATCCCAGCACTTTGGGAGGCAGAGGTAAGAGGACTGCCTGAGCTCGGGGGTTTGAGACCAGCCTGAGGAAGATGATGAGGCCTCATCTCTAAAATAAATAAAGCCGGGCTTGGTGGCTCAGCCTGTAATCCCAGCACTTTGGGAGGCAGAGGTAAGAGGACTGCCTGAGCTCGGGGGTTTGAGACCAGCCTGAGGAAGATGATGAGGCCTCATCTCTAAAATAAATAAAGCCGGGCTTGGTGGCTCAGCCTGTAATCCCAGCACTTTGGGAGGCAGAGGTAAGAGGACTGCCTGAGCTCGGGGGTTTGAGACCAGCCTGAGGAAGATGATGAGGCCTCATCTCTAAAATAAATAAAGCCGGGCTTGGTGGCTCAGCCTGTAATCCCAGCACTTTGGGAGGCAGAGGTAAGAGGACTGCCTGAGCTCGGGGGTTTGAGACCAGCCTGAGGAAGATGATGAGGCCTCATCTCTAAAATAAATAAAGCCGGGCTTGGTGGCTCAGCCTGTAATCCCAGCACTTTGGGAGGCAGAGGTAAGAGGACTGCCTGAGCTCGGGGGTTTGAGACCAGCCTGAGGAAGATGATGAGGCCTCATCTCTAAAATAAATAAAGCCGGGCTTGGTGGCTCAGCCTGTAATCCCAGCACTTTGGGAGGCAGAGGTAAGAGGACTGCCTGAGCTCGGGGGTTTGAGACCAGCCTGAGGAAGATGATGAGGCCTCATCTCTAAAATAAATAAAGCCGGGCTTGGTGGCTCAGCCTGTAATCCCAGCACTTTGGGAGGCCGAGGCAAGAGGATTGCCTGAGTCCAGGGGTTCAAGCCCAGCCTGGGCAACTTGGCGAGACCTCATCTCTACAATAAATCAAAAATGAGCCGGGCGTGGTAGCGCACACCTGTAGTTCCAGCTACTTGGAAGGCTGAGGCAGAAGGATCGCAGGAGCCCAGCAGGTAGAGGCTGCGGTGGCCGGGAGCGGCCACTGCACTCCAGTCTGGGCAACAGAGTGAGACTGCAACTCAAAAAAAAAAGAAAAAGCAAAATCTGTTTAGGATCATGCTAAATAACATTCATCTCAGAGAAGAAAAGGAGACCAAAGAATTTCTTCAGACAGAAAAGACAAAGCCCTGAGATTACAAATTGACATTTCCACAAGAAACAAATTTGAGAATGACAGAAGACTCTCCACCAGAAATAATGGACAAGCAAAGAATATGTCCAAAATGGTGAGGGAAAGAAAGTGACCTGTCACATAAGAATGACAGTATTACCCGCCTGGGCAGGCGAGACCTCATCTCTACAATAAATCGAAAAAATTAGCCGGGCGTGGTAGTGCACGCCTGTAGTTCCAGCTACTTGGAAGGCTGAGGCGGAAGGATCACCAGAGCCCAGCAGGTGAAGGCTGCGGTGGCCGGGAGCAGCCACTGCACTCCAGCCTGGGCGACACTGAGACTCCAACTCAAATAAACAAACAAACAAAAAGAATAACGGTATTTTCAGGCACTAGAAAAACTAAGAGTTTACCTACAGACCCTCATTAAAGAATGACTTGAGGAACTCTTCTGGTGAAAATGCAAATTAGACCCACCTGGGCAACTTGGCGAGACCTCATCTCTACAATAAATCTAAAAAAAATTAGCCGGGTGTGGTGGCGCACGCCTGTAGTTCCAGCTCCTTGGAAGGCTGAGGCGGAAGGATCACCAGAGACCAGCAGGTCGAGGCTACAGTGGCCAGGAGCGGCCACTGCACTCCAGTCTGGGCGACTGAGTGAGACTCCAGCTCAAAAATAAAATAAAATAAGATAAAATAATAAAATGCGAATTAAACACAAAAAAGAGTAAAAAGCTATAGTATGAGATTAGAGAACAAAAAAGATAAAAAACCTTTGGGGTGGAAAAAACTCAAAAATGAAAATATTACTAGCATATACTACTTAGCTTTGGGTAAGCAATATCTGACCAAGTCATAATAGTGCTGAATATTTTAAATACAACTAAAAATAATATATATTAAGAAATGAGCCGGGCTCGGTGGCTCAGCATGTAATCCCGCGCCTTTGGGAGGCTGAGGTGAGTGGATTGCCTGAGCCCACGGGTTCAAGACCCGCCTGGGCAGCAAGATCTCATCTCTACAATAAATCAAAAAATTAGCTGGCCATGGTAGCGTGCGCCTGTAGTTCCAGTTACTCGAAAGGCTGAGGCGGAAGGATCGCCGGAGGCCAGCAGGTCGAGGCTGCGGTGGCCAGGAGCGGCCACTGCACTCCAGTCTGGGCGACTGAGTGAGACTCCAGCTCAAAAAAAAAAGAAAAAAGAAATGAAGAGTGACATAAGAGAATTAAGTCTTTTGACCTTAATAAGGAGTCAATATATATCAAAATTGATATACCAGAAATGGTAATATAAGCATTCTACTTGAAAATATAGTAGAAAACATGAGAGAAATAGCAAAAAGAGTTGTAAACATTGGATGAGGAGCCAAACTAGGGATGAAGGTCGGAAATTGAGAGGAAAAAAATGGGAAGGGAATATTATTTTTCTTCATAAGCCTTATAGTATATTTTGTCTATTGGTTTTTATTAAGCAATTGACTGTAATTTTTAAATTTTTTTTTTTTTTTTTGAGTTGGAGTCTAACTCTGTCGCCCAGACTGGAGTGCGGTGGCCGCCTCCTGGCTGCCGCAGCCTCGACCTG